TATGCATTCTTTAATAGAGGACTTCATTAGTGCGGGAGTAGAATGTGTGCATCCACCTTCCTTATTAGGCTTGTTTAGGTCTAGCGAGAGTTTGTGCTTGTTACTCTTAGTGATCGGCATCACCTAGACGGCTTGGTGTGATTGGGAGCTTGGTAAGAGACCCAACTCATGGTATAAACGGTTGTCGGTGATTCAGCATACCGGAGTGGCGAAGAATCAACCCATAGAGAGCATTTGGTCATTGCGCGAATCAAGGGGAGCTATACCCTTGTATAGGTGCTCCAACAAGGACTAGTGGAGAGTGCCAGCTCTCCGATACCTTGGAAAAACATCGCCATGTTCCTAACACTTCTACTTTAGATTTGTGCAATTTACATTCATGTATCTACATTGCTAGGATTGCCATTCTAGCATAGGGTTGGAAGTTCGTTGCAAACTTTGAGCGGCAGGATAGAAAACACTATTAGGCATAAGAGGTGAAATGGACTAAGTGATAGCTTTTAATTTTTCCAGAATTTTAGATTAGTCCAATTTAACCCTCTCTTGGGCATCTAGATAGCTTCAGCTACATAGAAAGGTCACTAAGGTCCTGTTTGGATTCAGCCAGAACTTGCCTCACATCGTCAGTGAAGAAGTTGGAATAGGTGATATGTTTATATTCGTTGCCCACGTGCCTCGTTATCCATGCAAGCAAGGATTTCCCTTGCTAGCTTGGATGAGTTGATCTGGTTGACCTGCGCTGGCAAGGTTCACCTTACTGAGCGAGGTTAGGCTAGGAAAGCTGACAATGGATGGTTGCTCCTCCTGCTGCCACCTGCGGCTTGCTGAATTGAACATGGAACTAGTCATCCATCGATGGATTCCGTTGGAGTTGCTCTCCATCCCAAAATAGATGTATTTCTAGCTATGCATCAAGATAAGTGCTTGTCTAGATACATAGCCAAAACTATATATTTTTTTGGACGAAGAGAGTATATCACTTCGAATTCACCAAAAAACTCAAATGCAACTGCATGAGTGCAGCAAGAAAATTATATCTATAATTCATAAATTAATTTATAAATAACATTCTCTTTAATGAAATTCATTGCTATTTAACTAGATTAATAATGATTTCAAATATTTGAGAAAACATAATAAGTATTTGAGAAAACATAATGCTTTATTTGTGTTTGTATTTACATAAAAAACTTAAATACTTCGGAGGGTAACACATCTTCAGACATGGTGAGATTTTTTTTAGAAAAATGTCAAAATCATTATTAACATAGTAATTTCTTGGTTAGGAAAACAGAATATAGACCATGACAATAAATGTTATGTTCACAATACCAAAGTATAGCACCATTGGCAGCTCTCTCATTGAGCCATGCTAGTTTATTGTGCTAGCTAAAGTTAGCCAAAACCATGGCCACCAATTTCATGACCAAATTTAGCCGGGCTAATGAATATAAGCACCTTTGGATGACAACGACACGCCCAAGATTTATGGGCACGAGCATTTTTTCGAGGCTATGCCATTTCGAATTGAAAGATGACAACCCACCGGAAGTTTTAAAACCCGTCCACGTACACCTCGGCCGGGCAAATATTGGCAGACGATTTTGGGAATCAGATCCTCTAAAGTCGACCAAAATGACTTGTGTCTGCAGTCGACGTGCATCTGGCCACTCAATCCCTATTGAACGGTGCAGCGAGAAATATCTGCTGTCCCACTCGGCTTGCTGGGCCGGCCCAATTCAGCACGACCCACGTAAGAGATGTGGCTGCGGTAATTTTTCTGGCGCAAAGCTTCAATATTTTGGCGCCCGACTCATGTGTTTTGGCGCGAGCAGTGTAGGTCGTGCGGCGGCGATCGCTCTTCGCTGGTGCTCTCCATCGATAGACTGAACTGGTGCCAAAATCTTTGCACTCATGTCATCTATTGCTGTGTACTTAAACTAGTATTGTTCTGATTTGATTGTTTTTCCATCCTCCCTTATTGGATTGTGCTGGAATTGATGGATTGAAGGAAACCTGATATGGAAGGTTGAAGGAAGCACCTATTTGGTTGCATCAAATTAAAATTTGCATATTTAAGATGGAAGAAAATAGGCGCCTAATGTCATGGTTGTTTCTTTTTATGTATCTAATTAGGGTATATATTTTAGTTGTTCAATTTGCCGTCCAATATCATGCCATCTTTATTTGTTTTCTTGTAGGGAGGGCTTGTTTTCTAGTCTTTTACCTAAAGTTGGCATGGAGTTAACCACTATAGATGAGGTTGGGATGTTTTGGATTAGCTATGGGGTCAGAAAGGCTTTGAGGTGAGGAAAATGTACGCAAACAAAAGAAAGTTAGATGGGAAGGTTAGTTCCTGCAGATATGTTTGTGCAAATGAGGGTCATAGAAAGCCAGATAAAAGAGATCATCTAACAAAGTTTTCAAGAGCTAAAACTAGAACTAACTGTCAAGTTCGTATGGGACTTATAATGGACAAGAAAAAAGAAAATTATAAAGTGACTGATCTGTTTTTGGAACACAATCATACCCTTCAGCTGCCACAAACCTCACACTTGCTGGCGTCCCAAAGGAAAATTTCAGAGTTACAAGGTTTTGAAATTGAGACGGCTGACGATGCAGGAATTGGGCCCAAAGCTGCTCATGAGTTGGCTTGCATCCAAGTTGGTAGCTCAGTTAATCTCAGTTACACTCTTCAAGACCACAAGAACTATTTACGGGGCAAGCGGCAACGGGAGATGGCATATGGTCAAGCAGGAAGCATGATTATGTATTTTTAGGAAAAAATTGCCGAGAACCCATCATTTCAATATGCACTGCAGATGGATCGGGAAGAACAGGTTGCAAACATATTCTGGGTTGATGCTAAAATGCTCACTGACTATGCATATTTTGGTGATGTTGTCAGTTTTGATACTACCTTTGGTACAAACAAGGAGAGTAGGCATTTTGGCGTATTTGTTGGGTTCAACCATTTTAGAGAAACAGTGGTTTTTGGTGCTGTTCTCATGTATGACGAGACATTTGAATCCTTCAAGTGGCTATTTGAGACCTTCCTGAGAGCCCATAATGGTAAGCAACCTAAAACAGTATATACCGATCAAGATTATGCAATGGGAAAAGCAGTTACGGAAGTTTTTTTAGAAGCATGGCATGGTCTGTGCACTTTTCACATTATGCAGAATGTTGTCAAGCATCTAGCTGAACCAGATGATGAGGAATCAGGTGCATCTCCCAAACAGGAAGTAGAAGACAACAATAAAGAACCAAGTATTCTATCTGATTTTAGTGCGTGCATGTATGAGTATGAAGATGAAGCAACATTTGAAGATGCATTTAACATCATGAGGTCAAAGGCGAAAAAGCAAACTTGGTTGGATAGTATATACAAGGTAAGAGAAAAATGGGCCAAATGTTACATGAAGGATGTGTTCACATTAGGGATGAGAAGTACACAACTCAGTGAGAGTCTAAATAGTGACCTGAAGCGACATTTCAAATCTGATTTTGATATAATCCGATTTCTTAAGCATTTTGAAAGGGTTGTGGAATATAAAAGAAAGAAAGAACTGCAATCTGAATTTGAATCAAGAAAAAAATTACCTAGAATCAAAATGAGGACACCTATGTTAATCCAAGCTAGCAAGCTGTACACACCACATAATTTTGAAGCTTTTCAAGGTGAGTATGAGAGGTCAATGGTAGCATGCACCACAGCATTAGAATGCGAAAATGAATATCTTGTAGCAATTGGGAGTCTTGATGAAAATTTTACCTTTGAGAAGGAGTACAAAGTTAATGGTGATCCTTTAAAGCAAACCAGTACATGCAGTTGTGGGCAATTCAATAGAATCGGAATACTGTGCGGCCATGCTCTAAAAGTTCTTGATTTGATGAATATCAAAACACTTCCTACACAATATGTACTGAAGAGATGGACACGGGAAGCACGCAGTGGAACAGTACAAGACAACCAAGGCCGAAACATAATAGAAAATCCAAAACTAGATGATATGCTTCGCTACAAAGATATGACTCGCAAATTTCTCCATTTGGCACATCGAGCTGCCAGCCATCCAAAGTGCACCTTATTAGTAAACAACACACTTGACATGCTCAGCAAGCAAGTTGAAGAAGAAATCAGTGGTGTTGCAAGTCCTATTGATCCCATCAATGTTCCCACCAATGTTACTCCACCCACTGAATTGTTGAGTACAACAAGACTAAAGAAAAAGGAGGTGGAAACAAAAAGCTCGAAGCGAAAAAGAACTTGGCTTGACAAGAAGCGCAAGTTTACAAAAAAGGGAGGCAACAAAAAAGAAAAAAGTTCAAAGGTGTGTGACAAGAAAAAAGAAAAAAATTCAAAGTTGTATGACAAGAAAAAAGAAAAATGTTCAAAGGTATCCGGCAACAAAAAATATATCAAATTTCTTTAATTGTATCCACCGTAGTTTCAATTGTATTTAACTATTTGATTCTCTTTAATCTGAAGGAGCAAGAAACTATACAAGTGACGGTCGATGATGGCGCAGCAGTACAAATGTCATCTTTGTCCGAGGAAGGGATTTCTGAACAATACATGGCCATTAATACCTTCTCTGAACTATTGACGGTAATATTTCAAAGTAACAAATCTTTTCTCTGAACCATACATGGCTATGATGCTGAATTATTGTTCTTTTATTTTTAGGGATCAATGACAGATGGTGTTATTGGTGAATTCTAGTAGTACAGATCATGCATGGAATATATGGCTCACCAAAAGTAATGTCATCTTGTTCATATATTTTCTGGTTCTGTATTTCAAGTGTAATGTTCAGCAGTCTGCTAGCAGCTTTTGTGACAATGTTGTTTCAAGGTGTATGACATATTGGGTTCACTGAAAAACAGTTCAGTTGTATTTGATTATTTAGTTCTCTTTTATCTGAAGGAATAAGAAAATATACAAGTTGCATTCCATGATGATGTAGCAGCACCAAATATGGTGTCATCGCTGACTTCTAATTGTACAGATCATGTAGTCTCTGCATCATGGAACATGGATCATCAGCCTCCTTTGAATCCTGTTCAGATATTCAACAGTAATGTCATATGCACTTGAAACTAGATGTAGCCTCTGAAGTTTCAATTCCCATCAATAGTTTTTGTGCATTCCATCGGCAATAGTATTACAGAACAATTTATAATACAATGGGAAGCTTGCTCACACTTGCATAATGGCAATCTTTACAATTCCATGGCAATAGTCACAATTTACATAGGTTGCTGGCACTTGTAGAATTTACAGTAATGGGAACTCAGTTTACAACATTACTGGGAACACGGTTTATCCCCAATCAGTGACCACCAGTGTGCCTAGCCATGGAGTGGTATCGCCTACAATTGATGCGGTGGCGGGGAGGAACTTCCGGCGTGGTGAGGAGCGCCGCCGATGCGACCGACTACGGGACGATGATGATGCTCAGTGGCGCGGAGGGGAGCGTCGGCGAGATGGAGAATCAGCTGACGCGCGAGATGGAGATCCATGACAATTTTGGGTCCCTCACTTTGTCTGAACTTTTCAGTGCTTGCCACATCTGCAGATTGAATATTTCCTGAAGTTAAAACAGAATGGAGATTGTCTATGACAGGGTATAATTTAGAGTAGACAAGACCTTTCTCAGCATCAGTTTGCAGTGCAAGATCAAGAAAAAGTAAAGACTAATGGATTATAATAATGAGGTAAATAACTATGCATAGAACCATAACTGATATGCGACAGGGTATAGCAGAACAAGACATTTTATAGCTATGTGCAGTTTGTGAAACTGCATATGGATGGAGGTTTATATAATGCCCATAATAGTCATCTGAATATAGCAACTTCGTGGTGAATTTATCATAACAGTGAATTCATTTTTTTCTGAAAATGTTGAAAACACTAGTTTCTAGCATGCCATTTCATAGCGTTCGTGCACTTGTAAGTTCAGCCGAGCAGAAACATGTAGCCGTTTCCAAATGCATCTTCACAATACCCAGGAATATACACATGCTGCCATGCTACTTAAAGAAACGGGCTAATGGGAAGTCATTACTACAAGCATGTTGTGAATAGAAGAACAGTGTAAGTTGCCAAACAAAATGACGCATCTCAGAAGACCCGCAAGCACACCAATGTCATACCACGGAGCACGGAGCTCAGCGTCTTCAAGGCCGATGCAAGCAACCTCTCCTGCTGAACCCGAGCGGACGCGCACAGGGCAACGAGCGCCTCCACGATGCCATTCCGTACCGCGATCCCTGCATTCTCTGAACCCTCGCCGGAGCTGCACAGGCCGCGCAACTCATCAAGCAGAGAGACGAGTCCGTCGAGATCCTGCTCCGACCCGCCGCTGGCACTGTGAGAGGCCTTCAGCTCGTCCAGAACCCGCACCACCGGGCTCACCTCCGCAGCGGTGGCCTCTCCTGGCACGCGCTTAATGATCCCTGGACGAAGCAGCGAGGAGCTGGGTGAAGATTGCAAGAGTGCAGAGAACGTTGAGGTGCGGATCTGACGAAGAGTGGTTACCGGAGAGATCGGCACGTACGTGTGCACCATGTCCATCACCGCCGCCGCAGGAGCCCCGCCGCCCCATTGCCGTCGAGGAGGCGGTACTGGAGGAAGGCCTCGCCATCGGGCGTCTCGAACCTCCCCTTGTCCTCCCTCCACACGATGCTTTCTGTCTCCGGCGGAGGGGCCTCCATGGTCCGCTGGGCCACGCCGCCGCCCTCCTCCTTCGGCATCACCCGGTGCTAGCCATTAGAGGCGCGACTCGCAGGGGAGTCCGCAACGGCGGCGGAGGGGCGACTCACGCAGGGGAACGGGGAGTCGAGTGGCTGGGCTAAGATGGGCCGGCCTACAGGCCTGTTAAATTGGTTAGGTTCGTTACTTTTAGAGTCTCACAGTTGGATCTAAAACTAACATCTGCGATGATCAACTGCAGAGTACAGTTCAGTTGGCCAACTACAGACGACGATCTCGTTCCCGGTTTTGCTGCCCCTACCCACGATTGGAGCGCACTTTTTTGGGGCATAAATTTAACTAGCCTGTGAGCACTAGTGCCAAGGTAAGCCCAAGTATGGCTAGCCCGCAGTGAGCAACCGTGTTTTGACAGGGCTACCATGGCCCATGGACAGGCATCCAAACCTACCCTTAGGACGTCCCCAACAGCCTTTACAAATCGCTGGCTAACGTCATGTTGCCTCAGAGACTTGAAAATTTTCAAGAAACGTGTGAGCTAAGCTCATGTTGCCTCGCTAGCACAGTGAGTTTTTTTGTTTCTCTTTCTTCGTGATTGGGTAGATGCTCCTCTTCGCTAGCGAGGTGGACAACCGTTGGGGACGCCGTAGTGGTTTTTGTGTCGTTATTGTGCCCGTTTTTTGCTTCTTATTATCGTTGCTCAATCCTCTAGTGTCCCATTGCTATATATGGTGTTCTGCCCTCTCTAGGTTTTTGTGTTTTGACAGGGCTACCCTTAGGACGTCCCCAACAGCCTTTACAAATCGCTGGCTAACATGAAGCCTAAAAAAAATAAAAAATAAGAAGTTAGATAGTAGCAATGATCAGCCGGATTATTTCCCGCCCACAATCCACCCTAAACAAACGAGGCCTGAATGATGTGGATGATGCATCTGATCCCACTGTCAGGACAAAGATTTCGACATTCTTATGTAAAGCATTTCTTTTAAGAATATATTCCATTCAGCCAGCTGGGGTAGAATTACTTGCGTAGTGTGGCAAGCCCTTTGTGCGAAAGCTATGAACATGGAAATTAGAGTGCTTTTTGTGTTAGTAAAGCCTCGAGTTAGTTGTTCTAGTGTATGTCGGCGTGCTAAATGGTTGTTTGCCATCATAATCATCATCATCATCATTTACTTAGCATCATACTTAATTAAAAGCTCCTATAATACAGAACCTCTCAATTCCAATAATGTGACTTGGGGCAAGCATATATACAGTAGAGCCCCGAACCCTTCTATGCAAGGGGTGATCGGATTAACAAATCAACCCCTTCAGTAATTAAATTCCTATATCCCAAGGTCTTGCACAGCACAAGGTCACTTAAATTTAGTTTAAATTGAAGAGAAATTTAACGAAATACGCCGCCCCCTTTTTTTTCGAACCAAACTATACAATGATCCCAGCTGGGCTGAAGCCTTCTCTTAGAAACTGGAGGGGTTTTTAGGCCCCTCCAGGTAATTTATTAAACGATAATGATCCAACACGGGCGTCCGTTCGTAACTCCTGTCTGGACGTGGATCCATAGGAGCGGGTCCATCTCTCTCAGAAACAAAAACACAAATCCCCGTTCCCTCGTATGCTTATCCGGTCGGCCCGAAGCAGCGTGGTAGCTCATCCGTCCGCCGTCTTCCCCCACCGCGCACTATTCTGGCTACCGCGCCGTGCCCTTCCCCCGGTCACTGGCTGCCCGCACGCCCTCGCTCCCTGTGCCGCTCACCTGCGCTGCTCGCTCCCTCGGCGTCTGTCCATCGCCCATCGTCGTCGGGCGCGCCACTGGGGCGCATGTGCCATGGCGCCTCATGTCTTCTCCGACCGAGCCAAGGGCACCCACAAGCGTGGGTGCTCGCTCGTCGCCGCTCGCTGCCGGATCCCACCCCGATGACCGGAATCGACCGGCCCTGGCCTTCCCCTGCCCTATGATGCAAATGTATGCTTCAAGTGCTTCAGACGTTTCTAAGGTATGTTGCAATTATTACACATGGATGTTGCAAAAGTAGATCAGGATGTTGCACATGTTGCATATTTTTGCAAGTGTTTTTAGTGGTATGTTGCAAGCGTTTTGAAAAAATGTTTTATCTCTTTCAGACATGTGTTGCAGCAAGTGTTTTATCTGGATGTTATACATGTTTCACCCACATGTTGCAAGTATTTTATCTGGATGTTGCATATATTTCACCCACATGTTGCAAGTGTTTTATCTGGATGCTGCATATGTTTTACACATATGTTGCAATAGTATATTTCAAATGTTTCATGTGTCTAACGTATATTGCATCCAAGTGTTTTATGTTGCAAGTGTTTCATGGAGGCACATTGAGTGATGGGCGCATGACCCAGGCGCCGGGGATGGGGCGCGGCGAGCTGGGGACCGGCGAACGAGGGCGCAACGAGCTGGAGGCCGGCTCTCAGGTCCCACCCACGCGGGGAAGGAGCGGGGAGCAGCGGGGGCAGGGTGCGCTGCAAGGCGGGGGTGGGCTGCGGGGCCGTCCATCTGGACGCAAGGAGCGGTGGGTGCAGCGTCGAGGGTGAGGTGCACTTGTGAGTCGGAGTGAGCCAGATGGATGCAGGCTGCACTGGCGTCCGGACACGTGCGTCCGTCCGGACATTCGGGCGCTAGCCACGCCGTATATTAAAAGAAGTGTCTGAAAATTTCTGTGCTGTATGAGAGCCTTGTTAAGCTTCTTTGTTTAAAGCTCGGCTGATGCCTTGAGTATTGAAAAAACAAGTCTTGTAAAACAAAAAAGAGACATGTACATCTTACGAAAGAGCCGCATGCACTCAGGAACAAGTACCACAACACGACAGGCACAGCTAGCTCGGAGCACGTGTGACAGAAGCCATCATCCGATACCTTACTTCCCAGAGTGAGCCGGACGGATGCGGGATGCGCGGGCGTCCGGACATGTGCGTCCGTTTGGACATCCGGGCGCTAGCTAGCCACGCCGTATATTAAAAGAAGTGTCTGAAAATTTCTGTGCTGTATGAGAGCCTTGTTAAGCTTCTTTGTTTAAAGCTCGGCTGATGCCTTGAGTATCGACAAAAAGTCTTGTAAAACAAAAAAGAGACATGTACATCTTACAAAAGAGCCGCATGCACTCAGGAGCAAGTACCACAACACGGTAGGCAGAGCTAGCTCGGAGCACGTGTGACAGAAGCCATCATCTGATACCTCCTTAGAGCTAACACCATTTAAAGAGAAGAGCGGCGAAGGAGGATGGACATCTCCAGCAGTTCTAGAGGTGAGACTTCACAATATCCAATAGTGTGTAGGTTGATTCGATCATGGCTTTCTCAGATGCAATGCAGTGGTGGGAGGAGTGGCAGTTGCGCATCCTTGTCCTATGCAGCCTCTTCCTTCAATACTTCCTCTTCATCGCCGCATCCTTGCGTAAGCGTTGTGTCCCTGCTTGGTTCAAATTCTTAACCTGGCTCGCCTACCTAGCGAGCGATGCCGTAGCTATATACGCACTTGCCACCCTATTCAATCGTCACAAAAGGCAAGAATGGCTATCCACGCACCGCAGTAGCGCTAGCTTGGAGGTGTTGTGGGCACCTATACTTTTGCTGCACCTTGGTGGGCAAGATGGCATAACGGCCTATAACATCGAGGACAATGAGCTGTGGGGGCGTCATGTTGTAACTGCCGTGTCTCAGGTTGGTGAAACAACATCAAATATATATCTTTGTATTAAATTTCAAATTCGATGTTTCAGTATTTTGTTTTGTGTTAAACAAAGGATGATCCGTGCAATCGCATGCCTAGTACCAACAATTTCATCATAAATTTTATACTCTTGGTACACCTATGCATGTTATTACTGTTGCATCATCCTAACTTTATCATAAATTGAGCAAACAAAATGTTGACGTCTTTCTTATTAACCAAATAGTAATATAACTAGGCATGAACCCATGCTTCAGCACGATCTAGAATCTGAAATCACAAAAGTACATTACAGATTGAAAGTTTCGATAAATTTTATCATATACAAAATTAATAGATACTCTCTAATCCCTATTTGGCGATCAGTAAACTACAAAAGTATATACTATTTATCTCTAGTGTATTCATGTTTACTTGTTATACGTGGAATTTAGACATTGATTTGAGGGTATTTTAGTTTATGTTTTACAACAAAACACGTGAGTAATTCAGATGCAAATTAACGGGGTTGCTTTATATTATCTTTTATAATATCAAATATGGGTAATTGAAATGGAAATATACGGGTTACTATAAAATTATCTTCATTAATGATAAAGTTGGTAGTTTAGATACAAATATAGAGGGCTATTAATATTTTTTCAATGGCAAAAGTAGGTAATTTTTTAGGAAACATAATAGATCCAATGGTTGCCAATCTCTATGGGCCAAACGAATTGAGGGCCAAACGTTTCTAATTGTTATGATAATTTCTAGCATTTATCTTTTTTTTTCATTAGTAATATTAAGATATATATGTGTTATTAGCCATTGCATTGCAACTGAGTTGGTCTTTAATATGTATTTAGTTAACACCTAAGCTTAAGTATGTCAACTCTTTGTTGGATATTTTTTATAACATCATGAATATATATTTTTGTTTTTCACTTTTGATCTTATTAGTTGTTACAATTTTTTATGTACATGCTAAGGCGAAACTCTTAACACTTATTGTGTATTTTATTGAAAAAATCCTTTTCTATTTTATTAAAAAGTGGATTCTAGATCATAGACTACCCTCTTAGTTACACTCTTAGCCATTTCAACATGAACCTAGGCAGTCAAGATGTTGACTTTATTTACTATAACAAAGAATTTTATGTGTATTAGTATTGTTTCAAAAGAATATATAGAGTTTTAGGAAGTAAATTACTAGTATTGATATGTCGTAATGTTTCAATCAAAATTCATATACTAATCTAAAGTAACAACTTATAAAATTTATTGTTATGGAGTATATTACTATAATTTAACTTGTAAGTGACATTGGTATGTGGTTTGTCGACGAGACATTTTTTTAAATAAGCATGTATCCTGCTGTATGCATATTTACTTGGTATACATGATGCTAGCATTTTCTTTATGGTACTTGAGTTATTTTCTATAGTGGCTTATATTGCTATTTAGACATAGATTTGTGGGATTTTGTGAGAAGAACAAAGATTGATAATTTAGATACAAAAATTAAAGAGTTATTTTATATTATTTTTCATAAATGACAGATGTGACTAATTGAAAAGAAAATTTAAGGAGTTACTTTGCTTTGTCTTTCACAATGGTAGAGTGAATTAGATGCGAGTTTAGGGGTTACTTTAAATTATCGTTTATAATAGTAGAGGTTGGTAATTTAGATGCAAATCAAGGGGTTAATTTATGTATTTCTTTTTATAATGGCAGAGGTAGGTAGTTTAGATGCAAACCTAAGGTGTTACTTTATGTATTTTCATTATGATAGAAGTGGGTAATATTTAAAAAATGGGATAGATCCCATGAATATTATTAACAATATAATTAGATCCTACCAGATTAAAGGTCATATGTTTTTAATTTTTTTGATAAATTTAAAATTTACCATTTTTTTCTAATGTGTCTTATGAAGATTAATGTGGAGTATCGAATTATTAATATTAAGATTGACCGACTTGGCAATTTTTAGACATTGAGAGCAAACGTAGAGGCTTATGTTTCTTGTCCATGTAGTAAGACAAGACAATGAACTTTGGTAAGGCTAGTTCCCACCTCCACGTCAGCTATGAAATAACACAAGACTCAAATTAGAAACTTATACCCATTTTGTGATTTGAAATACAAATAAAATAACTGATTAATTAAAGACCTCATGTATCACAGCTCGTGGCCACAAAATTAAGGAGGTAATAACGAATTCTTGTGTTTGAGTTGTCGTATATAAGTCAAGCTATCCTAATTTGGCCATTTAAAAAAAACAATGATATTGATGATATCAAATGGGCATCATTGGATGTACTATAAATATTTATATTTTGATAGTTTACTTTTAAACGTAGTAGATGTTACTACTGCCTCTATAAACTTGATTAAATTTAAGATATATAGTTTAACTTAGGACAAACTCAAAGGTCCTTATATTAATTTATTTAAGATATATAGAGAGAGTGTGCTCACTTTTCTTTCACCCCTGTGTTAGATTACTGTGGCCATCTACGTGTTCCGCAAGTCATGGCCAGGGGAGAAGAAGATTATTGCAGGTCATAATCTTGATCTTTGTTCCCGGTATTCTCAAATGCTTGAGAAGCCATACGCTCTCAAGAGCGCTAGCATCCACAGCATTGGGGACACCTCCAACAAGAAGACATGGGTGGAGAGGATGTTCGAAGAGGAGAGTAAGGACAACGACGACATCAAATCGCTGGACGACTATGTGAAAGCTGCATCTAAGTACGTTCAGGGGGATCATGCAGGCGAAACACCTGAAACGGGAGTGAATGAGAAGCCCTACAACCTATTCGTAGACCTTGCCTTCCCTTACTCTGATCGGCTTAAGAATCTAAAGTACATGATGCAAGAAAAAAACAAAGCGCATCGTCGGCTGCGGTCCCGCCTCTCCAACACCTTCGATCGCCTCTACACCAAGCACCAAATGAGCAGTGGTTTGAACATCTGTGACTTGACCTGCAAAAGTTTTTGGGGTAATGAGCTACGGAGCGTGGTTGTCTATCTGACGTTTGCGGCCATTGCGCTCTTCCACAAGAGCCATAGAGAAAACTACGACGACACCGACGTCAAGATCACCTACACTTTGCTGTGCTGCACCGCCGCTCTGGAGTACATTATATCCGGCATCAAGCCGTGCGTTGATTTCATCGAGAGAATCAACAGGAGACTCAGGAGCCTTGACCCGACTTGGCCTGACCTTGTTGCCCAGTACAATCTCCTATGGTACTTGGCCCGCAGCAGGAAGCACAGGAGGCTCAGGAGGCTCCTGCTGATCTGCAGGGACTCCATCGACGAAATCTGGTGCATGAAGCCGTGCCAGTCTTCCAGCGACGACATCACCGAGCTCGTCTTCGACCATGTCGTCAACCATGGGTGGAAGAACCGCATCAAGGACGCGGCCACCTTCCATGAGTTCAACAACAACCGGGGCCAGCAGACTCTCCAGCGCGAGGGCTGCAACGCGGGCATGCCGCTGGAGAGCCTGCAGAGGCCATTCGATGAGAGTGTCATCCTCTGGCACCTCGCCACCGATTTCTGCTTCTTCCACCACGGCATGGACGCCGCAGGCAAGTCAGCTTCCGGCGGCCATGGAGATGGAGACGCCCGCCGCCGCCGCAGCAGGGAGATCTCCAACTACATGGCCTACCTGCTGTTCACCAACCCAGAGATGCTGATGCCCGGCTCCAGGCGGAGCCTGTTCAAGAACGCCTACGAGAAGCTCAAGAAAATGGCCGGGGACGAGGAGACGAAGAAGCCGCCACTGCTGGACGAGCAACAGATGATTGCCTCTCAGATCATGCAGAAGCTGCAGAGCGACAAGGAGGGTTCAGAAGGTTTGGTTCTTGACGCCTGGGTCCTCGCCCAAAAGCTCATGGATATAACAGGCAAGGAAGGGGAGGCGAAGATGTGGAGTGTGATCCAGGGCGTGTGGGTGGAGATGCTCTGCTTCTCTGCCGGCAGGTGCCGAGGTTTTCTGCATGCCAAGAGCCTAGGCAAGGGTGGAGAGTACCTCTCCTACGTCTGGATGCTCATGTCCTTCCTTGGCATGGAGACACTGGCGGAGAGGCTGCAGAGGACGGAGCTGCACGTGCAGGGAGACATGGGCGCCACCCGCCCGATGACGCCGGCTGCATCTGAGATGCCAACGCCAACCGGCAGCGACAATGTTTGACTGGCAAAACGGTGCGCACGAAGAAGCATTGGAGACCCTCCGTATATATTATCTGCCATCCTGGTTTCCTTTAATTTTCTGCATGGACGTACGGCATTTATTTCTTCTGTCTGTCTCTTCCAAGTTCCAATCACATGTATAATGTATGTGTTGTTGTCTTGATCGCTGGTATCGCAGCTACGGCTGCTACTTCCTTTTGTGTTCTGCCTGCTGGTGGCTCATCTGCTACCGCAACTGTTGTTCCTCTTGTGAAGGCGATCAACAAAGGTTATGCTTTGAAAAAAAATCGAATCATTGCCTCATAAATAGAGGTTGCTGGTTAGTCTCTCCCTACATGTGGGCAGGCCCTTAGCGTGCGGTGGACGCCACGAGGACAACACGATGGCAACTCCACTCTGACGATCAACTCTAGGCTCCAGCAAAGGATGTTAGGGATGGTTTTAGAACTTTCGGCTACGATCAGCGACGAGGTATGACACCCAGCGCGACCACCAGTCAAAGACTAGGATACGAAACCCTAGAACCGCCCCAGCGGAGCCATCGAATGATCAGATCCCAAATCGAGCGATCAAACCCAAGATCGTTAGCATAGGGTGTGTGTTTTGTAAAAACTTGATTGAGCATTCTAACACAAAGACCACCATTGTTGGACGTAGGGCTTAGATGCTCGAACCAAGATAAACCCTTTGTGTCTTAAGTGCTAAGCCACCGAATTCCCTAGTATCGACCCACGATCGAATCACTAATCACTGTTGCAGAATCGAACCCACGACAATATCCTCAGATTTAGGACGCCCCGTCCCATAAAATCGAGGGGACGGGTTGTTCCCTTCGCACATCGTTGTTGGTCCATCTGGCACAGTCATAGAGACAAGATTGGGGTTGACACAGGTGTGTGAGCCCTTTGTGGTGAGCGAGCAGACCCGAAGTCGAGGGCAAGGCGAAGGGAAGCGGTGAAGGTCTTGGTGCTCCCTTGGCTGCAAGGCAGGACGGTGGCTAGCGTCGGAGTCTTAAACGACCCCCAAGCTTGAAGATTCAAAGATGGCAGCCAAGCTTCGAGATGTGGCGGCTGGGAACAACGTCGGATGTGTTGGGTTGTGTTGGTGAGGGTGGCGGTGGGTACAGCGTCGGGAGAGGGGGTTGATTACTATAGGCGGGGATGACCGGAGTGTCAGGCAAAATCGGGTGGCAGACGAGGCAGAGGAACAGTCGGGGAAAGATGGAAGATAATCATAGAGAATGATTGGTGGGCCCCATAGATGGCATGCATGGCCCAAGTGTGCGCCAACGACATAAAAAACAACACCCTACCTATTATTTTCTCTCTCCAACCAAAAAAAAAGATAGGATCGACTCCATATCTCAAACTAAACAGCAAAATGGGACCAACCCAAGCCCAAGATCAGGGAAAGAACCATTAGATCCCCTAAAGTCCCCGAACTGGTAGTGCGATGTACAGAAATCCGGACCGCACCCACACCAAACCATTCCATCAACGACCAGAGAGCCAACCCAATGCACCCCGCTGGTCCACCTCAATAAACCAAACTGATCCAGCCTGTCAGTCTCTTGGGCCCGAATAAAGCGAGTGGGTCTGTGCTGTTAGTGAGTGGGTCTGTGCTTTGTACGTTTTCTAGGTAGCAATTTAAACATAGAAAGTTTGACAAATCATAAAATGAACACGAAATTAAAAGGATCCAAAGAATTATAAAACTTGAAACAAGAAAATAATTTAGTTTATGAACTAGACTAGGCATTTAACAAAACAGAGAAAAATCACATATTATCTAGCCTCCATATATTACAGAAATTCAAGTCTTCATCATATTTAGCCTCCATATATTACAGAATTTTGAGTATTTCACCACTGTTTTTGTCCAAAAAAAAAACTTCTGCTTCCTTCTCTTAATCTCCATGACCAGAAACATAAAACTGCCACATTCAGCCATTGAATATTTTCAGTTGGTTGCATGTATTTCTAAGAGGTAATCTGTCAGCTATTTTTTCCACAACGTCACAATTCTATTTTTTCCACAAGTCAGTGCTAGAGGTCTAGCTCTACTGCTCAAACCAATAAATCTAAAAAACAATTATAAAAGAGCATATGAATGAGCTTTTTTCCACAATGTCACAATTCTAAAAAACAAATTTTGTTATCACGAATAAATCAAGTTGCCTAGAACAGGATGATCCCTTTGCCACATCCTAATAAAATCAAAGAACTTGCACTATTGAAGTTGTACCATCGTTAATTACCACAAAATGCACCCTCTGCCTATACTAGAGACAGATATACTAATAATTTATTTCAGATGCCAGAAAACAATAAAAACACAAATCCAACAACTTCCATCAAGTTGGAAGCAATTTCAGCATCCAACCCCAACTCATTCCTACAGTCCTACTCCTTATCTGCCAACTTCACAATACAACACATTGACTAGTATCCAGTAATAGTAAATATATAGCAGAGAAGATCCCTGAGGTATTATAGCCATAACAACTATGAGTGTGTCACTGAGATCCAAGCCCACAGCTTAGAGACAGTTTCTGACAGCCAGAAATCCATGCACAACAGCAAGCAGTAGAATTGTACCAATCATGGGCGATAAACATACCTGCTAGGCTGCTACTGCTCATGCTAGCCCTCTTCAGGTTCTAGATGTTGGCGTAAAAAATAAAAGTTTGTTCAGTTTACTAGAACAGAACATTTGTTTAAGGTGGCACAATGACAGCTAATCAAAGCTAACAATAATAGCAGCACAATATAGAATATACAGTAATGAAAGCTAACAATAATAACAGCACAGAGTATACATTTTTTTAATGTATAGACCTTGAAAACATACCTGCTACTGCTAGAGCCCTCTTCAAGTTCCAGACCTTCATGTTCCAGATGTTGATCTGAAAAATGAAATTTTGATTAGTTACCAGGAAAGAAAACTACACAGCAAGATGTCCCATAGAAAAGGCTTTGTACCTTCAGCAGTCTTGAATAGCCAATCTTTAGCACATACAAGGGCCATGAGCATTTCCGGCATTAGTGAGCTTCTACGTTCTCCAAGAATTCTTTCTCCTAAACTAAAAGCAGATTCCGATGAAACTGTGCTAAGGGGAATAGCAAGGAAGTCTCGAACCATAGTTGACAATACAGGAAACTTGTCTGATCTGCTCTTCCACCATGTTAGGATATCAAAATCATCATTATCCCCCTCAAGTGGTTCTTCTAAATATGTATCGATTTCAGATTTTCGTGCCTGTGCAACTCTTAGTCGTGTTGTGTATTGAGCAAATTCCACTTCTAGCTTTCTTTTTCCAAGAACGGGTGACCCAACAGTAGTAGAGGCTGGATTAGCACGTGTCATCATGTCCACACTACTTCTTGCACATCGCTGCTCATACAATGTGAAGTACTTTCTCATCCATTCCAAGGCATACCTCACATAATTATTAGTCTTACTTGGATCACTGAACACCTTCTCAATGAAGAACTTCAAGTAGTCAGCCTTCCTTCTTAGATCCAAGGCAGTGGCAATGACTAAGACAACACTAAATGCAATTTCTTTCTTCTTTCTCTTGCGGTTAGCTACATTATGAAGATCATCTTCAGTAGGATTCCAATATTTCTCAAACTTGGAGTGCATGGAAACAGCCAACTCCTTGAGCAGATCGGTACTTTGCCAGGCCAGGTCCTTCAAGGCATGAAGGATACAAAGCACTAAAGGCAAAAACCTATGTGCTGGAGGCTCCCTGTGGGCTGAGACAACAAGTGTTAGTTCTTCAAATGCTTTCAGAAATTCAGAAACTGCTGCTGCCTTTGCCCATTCTTCCTCAGTAGGTGGTTCTTCAAAATATTTTAGGAGCATAAGAATTAAGGACAGCTTTGTATTTCAATGCTTCCCTAAGCATTTTGAAGGTTGAATTCCATCTGGTTGGGATGTCAAGATATATGCCAGATTTTGAGGCCAAACCCATCCCTTTTGCAAGTGAATTGAACATTTGAAGTCTTGAGACTGATGAATCAATATGCTTCAGCAGCTCACGAATCTTTTTGATTGCTGTGTGGATCACTGTCATGCCAACCTGAACCAAGATGTTAAGAATGTGAGCCGAACATCTAACATGCAGATGCTCACCTTCAAACAATAACTCATGCTTAAGATTTCTGACCAACTCTTCACATGCCGAAGTGTGATTGCTTGCATTATCTAATGTCAAAGTAAACAATTTATACCTTAAGCCCCATTCTGTCAAGCACCTCATTGTTTCTTCTTCAATTGCAAAGCCTGAGTGAGGATACTCTAGTACTTTAAACCAAATGATCTTTTTCTTGATCTTGAATTCTGCATCAACGTACTGGGCTGTTATGGCCATGTATCCTAAGTTCTGTGATGCCGTCCAAATATCTGATGTCAGGCAAACACGAGAGTCCAAACTCTGAAGTTCAGTATGAAGCTCTTTCTTCAGGTCCTCAAATTTTTTGAAGCAATCACTGCGGATTGTATGTCGACCCTTGACTATGAGAGTTGGCTGCATTGTATCAATCCAAGGCTGCAGGTAATGGTCTTCAAACTGCAGAAATGGGACCTCAGCATGAATGATATACTTGATCATCGCTTTACGACAGAGTTGGGCATCAAAGACAAAATTTGTATCTACTGGTTGCTTGCTCATGCTTGCTTGAAATCTCTTTCTGATAGCACTGTCAATTGCTGGACAAGCATTGGCAATATGGCCTCTAAGACTACTGGTGCCAGACTTGGTAACCAATTTCAGTTGGCAATACTTGCAAACAGCTTTGAGTTCACCATCCACATCAACCAAATCTTTCTGGAAGTGCTCCCAAACGTTGGACCATGTACGACGTGGTGTCAAAGATGTATGGCCCTCTTCACTCTCATGAGTTCCAGACCCCTCTGTTGTATTGGATGCCATCTTTTCACCTGAAGAAACAGAGGAAACTGAAACTGAGCTTTGGAAGGTACATAGTCAGTGCAAACTCTCATGAGTTCCAAACTGAAATTACAAACACAGGAGGACAAACTCTACAAGAGTAAAAAAAATAAAATTATTAAAATCTTAAAACAACCTAACACAACTCAGCTTTGGAAGGTACATAGTCAGTGCAGTTTCAGCCTAAATATGGTAGGGATAGATGTCCACTATTCACTCAGTTGTCAGAAAAAGTCATTCTAATAACAATGTATAACAGAGAGCAAGCACTTATAGTAGTTTTCACAGGATTTAGCTCCTGACAGATAGGCCCTAAGCCCCAACTTATGGGTACACTCGATAATCTCTCACAACTAAAAAGACTAAAAGGTGGACACCGTTTTGGTGCGACAATCGACTTCGGGTCGTCAGTCTGCCCGCCTGCGATGCCGATCGCTCTCGCTCGCACACGGTGCCCTGCGGCGATAATCGCACTCCCTCGCTCCCCCGACTGCCCTGTCAATCACGCGCCATGGAACGATGCTGGACCCCCCGGCTCCGTCACGCGCACCGCCATCCTGTCCTGCCCGGCTCAATGTCGCCAACGCAGATGGGACTTGGCTCTCCCAGCCCCGCCACCGTCCTGGCGCCCTCTACTTTCTCTCCGCCGCCGACGCCAACACCCCGCCCCTGCCACACCCTGCCCGGCTCTACGCAGCCACCGCAGATGGGACCTGGCTCTTCCAGCTTGACTCAGCACCTCCCCATCTCCATCCATCTCGGCAGGAGCTCCTCAACGCCAACGACCCCGTCCGTGTCGACGGCCCCACCAACCTGCTCCTCACCGATGGCGGCCTCTCCATTCTCATCGCCAAGCCCAACCCAAACTGATCCCTCAGCCTCGCCTTCCGCACCATAGCCGGCATGTCCGCCTCTTGTACCGCCTCTACCTGCTCCAATCCTCCCTTTCTGACGCTACTGTTTTGATCCGATTGGATCAAAGACTCAAGTATTTAGTGTAGAGATTGTTATGGATTGGTCTCCTCACATTGCACAGGCGAGGGTAAGGCTTGCCATTGACACCTTCCCTGGACTTCCCATTGCAGTGGTGGGAGCTCTCTGACCTTTGGGTAGGTACCCCCCCCTATTGTTATGGATTGGTCCTGTTTCTGCCCTGGTCATTATTTTGCTCTATGTCTCAAGTGTCTTCTGGTTCTGGAATCCTATTCATCATTCTTAATTTTTTCGGTGTCGACATGTTCCTTAGTGCTTTGTGTTTCTGAATATTAGCAGCCACTAAACTCATTTATCTACTGCTTGCAATTGGTTCTGTTTAACATATATCCATGTGTGACCTGAATATACCAGCAATTGGTTTAGCTTTGGACGATGGGATTGGGCCTAATAATGTAGCTCTGGACCCCATACTGTATCTCAACTCTGAAATTATCATGGGATATCAAAACAAAGGTTGGTTTCTTCTCAGGGTTGGTGTTCTACTTTTCAACTCAAACTGTAAAATGACAAGACACTGGAGTTATGTTGGATAGAATGTCAGAGGGATTCTATGTACTGCGTCTGCAATTTTTGACTGGTTTAAATTATAGTAAGCTATATCCTACTCCTATGAATGTATAATGTATTTATTAAGACATATCTTTACAGTAAAATGACTAAAATTCAATGGTCTCGCCACACAATAGTGCACTGTTTCATCTGACCTGTTGCATGGAACCAGTATGGGAATTTCAGATGCATCTGCTACTTTTACTGAATTAAGATGTATATGCTACTTTACTAAATTCAGGGGCGTGGCCGAGGACGGTGCACAGCCGGCGCACGGCAGGCAGAGGATCCCGGCAAGGGCGGCAATGACGCTGACACGGCTGAACATGGCAGGGCTCTTTTTTTGCGATCATTTACCTTTTTATTACTTTTTTATCTATTGTCCTCACCCCTCTATTATGTATGCAGCACACTCTAAAAACCATTGCTTTTAAGTCAGGATATATGTATATTCCTCGTGGGTGCTTCAGTGTGTGCCCTTGACAAAGGTGCATTGTGGGAATTTCAGACAAAGAAGATAGGTAGTGGTTTAATGTAGTTGTATGTGATCTGTGATGCTATCTAAATAAATTTTCTTCTGTTATATTTCCAGGTGTAAGAGAGGTCATCACAGGCAGAGATCTGTATGTCCTTATGATGTTGAATTCCATCTATGGCTATTTGAAGACTAGCTGTTGGTGATATGTAGATGCATGCCGTTGACCCGTGTTTACATCCTAATGATTGCTGACTGTATTGCAGACTATTTTTTAGAACACATTGATGCAGCACCACATTGCTCTTCATTCTGCCCGGTTCTATGGAGAAAGTAAGTTACACTACACCAGCTGGTCAGTTCATCCCGCAAGTTAGTTGACGTTATTGCCTTATACTAAGTCTTATTGATTTGGTGTTTTCTACCTATGAACTTTAATCTCAATCCTTGCTATTTCTATGGGGCTTCAGGCTTGAATCTTGAGTCCTGACCGATTTATCTCACGCTATAACTTTTGAAGCATCCTAAAATTATTGCCTTTTCATGTCATTCGCAGCTTGCTTGTGCATTGCCAAATATACATTTAACATCACTATCCTGTGGTCTGATCAGTTTGGTTTGGCAGTGCTTATGAGTTTTACTTTGTGATTTCAGGTGTATGTGAGGGTTGATGACAATTCAGTATGGAAAACATCCTCCCGGAACGGATGTAAGTTCAGTTTGCTTCTTGTCCTATTCATGTGGAAATTAGATTTGGCAATTGGCAGTGCTTATGAGTTTTTTCTCTCTGTTTTAAGACAAGCAATTTGGTTTCTGATATACTGCAGCATGTATTTCAGAATAAATGATCATGAAAATGTCAGCAAAAGTATTTAATTTCTGTAATATATGTTCACAACCAAATATAATTTATTACCCCACTATATTAGGACCAGTTAATATGTGTGATTAGTATTTTTCTGCTAACATTGAAGATACTTCCTTAATGTTCTAGATGAATATTGCGAAAAAGCATAAACTTAAATTAAACTGAAATATGAGGAAGCTGTAATTGGCTTGGGCTCCCAATAAAGCCTTTGATTTTGTGCTGCAGAAAAAACTTGCAATTAAAGAATAGTTTGCACAGAATTGCTGGAAAAATTAAGGAAGGATGCTTCTAACTTTGCACATTCATGTGCAGAATAAAACAAATCAAGTGCCAGGAACAAGGAACTCAACTTCATTCAGTTGCATATGTGAAGAGTTGGAGATGCATAGAGATCATTACTGATCTCTAAGTGTTTTATATCACATCAGAAGGTTTGATTTACCACTTTTCCAGTATATACTATGACTTCATAATTCTTCCAGCGTTCACCAACCTTTGTGTAGAACAGTCTATCACATTGAATTTTAATTGAAGTTCTGCAAATAGTTCAGACAACTACAAGTCTAAAGTGCATTTCCTATTAAAATCAGTTGTGCATTATCACATTATCCTGAAAACCTTGTAGTGGGTAACTCTATCAGTATAAGTGATGATTGGGTGCAAACAACAAATCAAAACATTGTTTTTTTTTTCAAAGGTACAACACACTGCAATATATCACAATAATTCAAAGTTTGTAAACAGGACTCATACTATTCCAACAGCGTTTCGAATCTAAAATTTGGAATTTCATATTCAATCGTGACATAGAGTCCAGATGCACCAAATAATAATCCATGAAAAACATGACGAAATCTATTGCCCATGGAGTTGCTACATCTCTTACAACTAAAAAGACTAAAAACGTCGGTCTGCCTGCATGCGATCCCATGCTCCTGGCTGCATCCCACGCGCGGCATGCCATCCCCACGCACGCCCTCCGCCCCCTCACACCACACCGCAAAGGTTCGATTCCCATCCCTCACCCCATTTTCTTCTTCTGAAAAAACGAGATTTGGCGAGTAAGAGACTGGGGTGGACGGTGGGTGGGGTGCAGTTGAAGCCGTGGGAGGGGCGTCGCCGCGACGGATCGGGCGGCGGTGGTGATCCAGCGCCGAATGGACGGCGGACGAGGTGCCGGCGTGCATTAACGTTTTTTTTAACAATATAACATGTTCATGCTCAAATTATTAGGGTATTATTTGTTCCCGTTGCAACGCACGGAAAGGTCTATACAGTAGAGTTGGTGAGCCTGCGACGCCGCGCTCTCCGTGACTGTGTTAATTTCACAAACTTTGCTTTTTTGGATTAAATGTCACTTTAACGTCGGTATTTAATTTCACAGTATTGTTATCTTATCATGCGATCCGTGTGTTCTTAGTATAAAAGTTTAGTTATCCCATAACAACATACACGTGCACGCTACCTAGTTAATGCCAAAAAATCAAAGTTAGTGTGTAGGATACATACATGTAAATACTGGTGATTTAGACAGATTCTTAAATAGAAATTTGGTCACACATGACAACAAAACCAAAGTCACATGGAAATTCCTCTGAGCGACGGAGATAAACTCCGTAACCTCCAGAGAGTGGATATGAGTAGCAATTCATTCACCGGCCATATACAAGCATCCATATTCTCCCAGCCAGCATTGCAGTATTTGGACCTTAGATATAACCATCTATCAGGTCATATCGAGGAATTCCAGAAACCATCTACGATGCTGGAGGAAATTTACTTGTCTAACAATAAGCTCAACGGCACAATTCCAACCTCATTCTCGCAGCTTAGTGCTCTTACTAAACTAGAGCTGGGCTCAAACAATTTCTTGGGTACACTGGATCTGTATCCTTACTTGATGCTAAGGAACCTCTCTGTCATAAGAGCCTCCAATAACCCCTTGCTATCAGTTTCTGCGGAGGATCATGATGATGGGTCTAATAATAGTAGTATTATTGATACACTTGAACTTGCATCTTGCGGCCTAACCAGGGTACCCAGTGTGCTAAAATATCTACCTAAACTAAACTATCACGATCTCTCCAACAATAG